AGTCAGTTTTTATTATCAGGTATTGATCCGATAGTATTCTTTACTGCAATAGCCTCACTAGTTACCCCCATAACACTCTCAATATCTGCTGCCCAGAACTTTTCCAAATGTTTTATACTTGGCTCACTGAGAAAACTGTGGTGAACAGCACTGTCTAGTGGTGAAAACAGCACACAGCACCTTGATCTTTTGCTTCCAGAAGCAGACACCTGCTGACAGAATGTGTCTCAAGGCTGTTAGATCAAATGAATCCAAATTTGGTTTTATTGGACTGTGGTGGGAAATGAACGCAACCACAGTATTGTTATGCTTACTGCATAAAAAAAGGAAAAAGCTGAAAAATGGATCTCTCCCATGCTGTAAAACACTGCATGAGAGAGTGTATTCGGTTAAGGCTTAAGAATTGTTTCACCTGTTCTAACAGAAGTAGTTCAAGTAGGTAGCTGTGTCAGCATGTTTAGGCTTCAAAAGGAACAAGTAAAGGTTTATTCCATGCTGAAAAGAAAAGAAAGGAAAAGCAACATTTTGGCTGTGGAGCCTTCTTCGGGTATCAGGTACACCGTTTTCTTTCTTCTCTTTTCAGCATGGAATAAACTTTTACCTATTCTTCCTCAAGTCCTGGTTTACAATAGATAAGAGTGAATTGGCTTATTACATACATACTGTAGCACAAATACTTTTCAATGTTTAACATGCCAAAGAAGAAAACACTGCATAACACTGCATAACAAACCCACTGCACATAAAATATCCATTCTGTTCAGTAAGCAATCAGTCTGCACTAGAAATGTAAATCCATTAGAGATGAACTGGCAATTACTCCCTAGACACATAACTTAAGTAGTCGCACTGAAGGGAGGGGATTTATGCAGTCCTGCTACTTTCCTATCTGGCCCAGTGTATAGGAAAGTTAAAACAGCAGTAAATGTACTCTGCACATTCCAGAAGGACACATGATCCCAGCAGGCTTAACTGCTAACTAACAATCCAGAGCTCAGAAAACAGAGTGACAGGCGTTCATGATGAAATTGTGTAATTATGTTCGATGCAGTTTGGATATAATTTTGTGTATGAAGAGGTTTGTGTAATGGCTATATGTACACCAACACTGATCTAATATAT